GGGGGGGGGGGGGGTTGTTTGTTTGTTTTAAGCAAAGGAAAAGAAAGAGCTGAAAATAACTGAACTCAGGCATGTCCCTGAATATTCAACATATACTATGGCTGACATTCATCCCTGGGCACAGTCAGCACAAGGCCTAGTTGCTACTAAGTCCCATTTCAACCTCATTTAAAAAGCATATGTGAGACTTTGGGCATGCACAGACCAGAAGCTGGGCCAGCAATTCAGAGGTGAGTTTCACCCAATTTGAGCTGTATTGATGTGTTGTGGTTGGTCGTATGATATTGTTTCAATTCTCGAATAGGATGATCCTTCAGGCAGAATGTAAACCTGCCAGTATGAATATAAATATGCTCTTTATGTACATTGCCTTAGCAAGTATTTGTGTCCATTAGCCTGGTTGTTCCAAACTTTGTAGGAAGTCAACACAGATGGCACATGAACGTGGTTAAATAGAATCAAATACAAGCTAATATATCTGGAATCTTTTTTTTTAAGTTATTTACTCAGTACCAGTCAATCTGAGATCTTCCAGGGCACCCAGGGGAGTTAGGCACTCAGTTGCCATTGGAATCAATTGGAGTTTGGGTAAAGTGTTCAAATTTGCCTCCATCTTACTGAAAACCCTTCTCATTTTTATACCAGTAGAACAGCCCGCTGAGTCAATGCAAGTTTTATGTAACCAGATGTGTCTAGTTAACTTAATTAGCAAGAACAAATATGAGCCTGAGTTCCAGCCGAAGCTTCAAACCAAACCCCAAATTCTCAAGGTTCACATTAGTTTCTTGACATCTTATGAAATAAAGGCTAGGATCTACCCAGTTCCTGGGGATCAGAGCCCTGCAATGAAGTTCCCCACTTGTACTGGTCTGGGAAAGCCCTGGAACATAGGACATTTGAAAGCAGCAACTGTATCAGGGCCACCAGAGATTACTATATTGATTAAAAGCTCACAGAGGATTTGGAGCAGCAGCTAAGGTAGAGGTCTGAAGATAGGATGAAGTTCAGTCAGGGAAAGAGAAGGGCACTGGGGGTGCAGACAGAAGTGCAGCTCCTAGCTGTAACTCAAAACCTTTCTGCAAAGTGCTTTGAGTTACAACGTTACTGCAGACCAAACACAAGTTCACTGTTGGTTCCAAGGGGGAGGGGAATCTAGCTGGGACTGGGAGCCTGCAGCCAGATTCCCATAGCAATGGCCACTCTGCCAGTGCTCACTGTTTTTAGAATGGGAGGGGGAAAAGGCAGTGGAGAGAGCTCATTCTTGAGACTCCCCAGCTGGTCCTGAAGGGTGGGTGAATTGGAGCCTCCCTACCTTCAGGGGAAGCTGCAATACACCTGCCCAACCCTCTGGGGGGGGGCTGAAAACCCCTCAGACTGAATTCCCCCTGCTCTCTTTTCCCCCTCCCATTCTGAAAACAGCAACAGGCTGAGAGCTCTGCAGACACAAGTTACAAAAGATGCTACATTTTGGAACATCTTTATCTGACACAGCATGCAATAAGGGGTCAGATTTTCACTCAATCATCCATTTTTGCAGCCTTGCACTTGTGTTTGTTCACACTTATAAACTGCTTCCTGTGGCCAGGTCAGGCAAAAACTGTCACTTCTGTCTGCACTCTAAGTGTCAGCAAGATCAGTGACTGGGAGTCTCTGTTTCCAGCCTGAGGGGAACAAACAAAACTATTTTGTATTCTCTTGCAAACTTCTTTTCCTGCTCCATGCCCTCCTCCATCTCCTTTGCACATCTGTACATTCTGTGTAACCTACACCTCCATTCATGTCATTGCTGATTTTGGCCAAAGTCTACTCTGAAATGGAGAAGTTGCTTCACCAAAATGTGGCAGCTATATCACTGCTGATGACTGCTTACCTTGATGTTACCACCTCCAGGTATATGGTGGGCATTTTCAAGTGAACCAACTTTAGCCTGAGCCTTTTCTTTGAAATCCAGCTTCACGCTTTCAATTTTCACACGCCCCCCACCTATATAAGAAAATGAAAATTAAGAAAACAGTCCTATTTTTAAATTTCCAATACATTGTGTATTAGAAATCCAAATCCTTAAAATCTAACCTAAGGCCACAATGGCATTAATTGGTCCTTGTAGCTATTTAAGGAAACAATCTGCTCTTACACTAGGTCCCCTCTACACATTACATGTGTAAAATGTGATTAACCAGGTAAACATGCCTTAAGTTGTGATCCTGCTACATGTTGAATCAACTAATGCTATGATGAAACAAACAATAAGCTACAAAATTATTCCACAAAAAAGTGCAGTAACTTTGTAGCTGGTTCTAATTATGGCGTTAATTGAATGTGCGGCCAGGCCCTGGTGCTGGGAGCCCCATCGACCAAGGGGATCCCAGCCACAGGGGAGCGCCACCTGCTGCCAGCCCTATAGCTGACAAGGCTCACTGTGCTGGCAGAGTAGTTAGCTGTGGGTTTTACAGTGGGGAAAATACCATCTGCCCCATGAGCATCCCTGGCACACAGTGGTGGCAGCGCACACAGTAGTGGCAGTGGAAAGAACTCTGCCCCTGCTGTGAGCCTTGTGAGGTGTAGGGCTCACAGCAGGGACAGCACAGGGGAACAGTGCTGCGAGCCCTGCTGAGCTCTATCAACTGTGGGTCTCACAGCTGCAGCAGCTGGTGCAGAGGAAGCCCAGGATCATGATCCCAGGCTCTCCCTGCACTGGAGATGTGGTGCGATGGGATCTAATGCGCAATCGTACAATTGCACGTGTGGCATGGCAGGAGGTGCAATTGTGTGGTTCACACATTAGAACCTATTGAACTTTTACCTGCATGTGCAGAGGGAGGCTCTTAGTAAAAAAGAAAGCATAGAACCATGCACAAAAGCTGTAGCACACCACTGATGTGGTCCAGTCCACTTGTCAGTTTTTGTTTTAGAGAGGTGATGAGCACTCAGGTCTCTGTTTAGCAAAGCACTTCTTTTAAGTACATATGTAAACCCCATTAACATCAGTTGGATTTAAGCACATGCTTAAGTATTCTGCTGAACAAGGATGAACTGAAGCACTGTGTTAAGCTGCCGCTCAGCACAGCATCTGCAATGCACATTTAAGTCAATAATGTTTTTTGGCAATGATTCACACAGATTAATTCTGAACTGTGTACAAACATATTCACTTGTATTAATTTTGAACTTGCTGCCTCTCAGCTTAATCTCTTTATAATTGTATAATTAGAGATAGTTAAGAGGTGCACCTGGTTTACCCGTTCTGTTTTTTTCATTGGTTTCCATACTTCTGTCATGAGTGCACTTTTACATCACATCTCAATATTATTGTCCCTAGTAACTTATTTTGATTTGCATTTGGATAATTTAAGTAACAACTACAAACCATGACCAGTTTTTCACATATTAAACATGTTTGTAACACCTTTCTTAGGCTGCTGACAGATGTCACCTTAACCCTGGGATAAACAATTTTATCCTGGGACAAAATGCAATCCTGTATCCATGACTGTTGTTCTGGGATAAATAAGAAAAAAAGTTTCCAGGATAAAAGGTAGTAACAGTTTATCCTGGGATATTACAAAGAACATCTGTACAGTTATTCTGGGATTGCATTATTTAATCAATGGCAGAAAAGTGGCACTACATTCAGCCACTCACTAAACCCTAACCACAAAGGTGATATGTGTACACACCAATCCCAGGATACTGTATTTCTGTCCTGGGACAAATACAGGCACAACTTATCCAAAGGTAAATGCAATATGTGTTCCTAGCCAGAGCATATGGACTAAGAGGCCCAAGGAGTGTTTGCATCTGAATACATTCATTAGTTTACCTACCTCTGTAAAACTCAAACATGTGTGTAAGTGCATGTGTATTTGTATATATATTTTTTCTTTATTAAATGCATATTAGAAGTTGTGTGCATTGTTTATTCTAGTATACAGAACATCTGAAATAGTTCTCATTCAATTTTCAGGCATGACTATGTAAATACCCAAGGAAATGACACTCAGGTCTTATGACTGAGAAGCCAGTATGAAGACAGTATTAATCAAAAAGCCACAAAAACATGTGCACCCCTGCATTAACAGTGGCAAACATATTCCAGTTCAAAAGAAAAGAAAAAAAACCCATACACTACATCATGTGAAGATATATGGCAAATTTTGAACATAGTACCACTGGTATATGGCCTTATTTTATATACTGCAATGCATGAAGTAAAAAACAAAACAATATAAAAAACCTTTTGATAACATTTTCTGCAAAGACAGGTGATAAAATGAAGAGCCACAGATTATCAGTATGCTACAACTACTTTAATATCTGGTATATGTATGTGTAACTTCACTGAACTGAAAAAGAGCAGTGTCTACTTGTATCAAGACTGATTTTACTACATGTTCAAGTATGGCTAAAACTTCCTATTCGAAAATCAAATCCTGTTCCATTTTTACTAGTTTCAGCATATTAGATAATTGTACATTAGATATGTGTAATGTACTGCACTTTTTGAAGGAAAAAAGCTTTATAGGAATGGTGCTGGCCCATCAAATACTTGTTTTGGATTATTAACATGGTATATTAACAAATGTGAAATCAGAATAAAGCTATTAACATTCCAGAAAGCAGTCACTCAATAGTCAACAATGGACTAAAAACAGAGTCTCTGCTGTTTCTTCAGGTACCTACCAATTATCATCTTGAGCTAGGGGGCTTGAGCTGTGGCTGCTCAGTGCACTGGTCCCTATCCAGAAAAGCATTCTAAGTACATACTCAAATCCATATATCTATATATCTATATATCCACACACACACACACACACGTTTTCCTGGGACAGGCAAGAGTGCTTAGCACCTTATAGTAGCTATACAGAGAACTTCTACTTATCCTTCTCGCCTTGCTTGCATGATAAGTTAGTTGAATCAATGGTTATGTGCATGTGGGATGGGAAAGCAGGTTTTGGCCCACTGTATGCCACATTAATGCAGATAATTCCTGCAGTACCTGGTTTATGACGGATGTTCTTCAGGGAGCCACATTTGGAAGTGACATGACTCAGGTCTATCTTCTTAGTTACAATTTGTACCTGTTAAAAGCATACAAAATACATTATAGGAATGAAAAAAAGCCACAGGAGGGAAAAACTCAACTTTGAAAAGCACTGGAAAAGAAGAGATGGTTAGTAGAGAACAGATCATGCCACAAAGGAGGGAAACACCTGGATTTAAACAGCAAGTGTCCATTCCACCAAGGAACCAGACAGAGCTATGTTAACTCTTTTAATTAGTAAAATGAAAAATGAGAGTCAGGAAAATAAACAGGCGGAGTTATTTTCCAAAATGCTTCTGAGCTTTCCTCTCAGTGTGAAACGCAGCATTTAAGCACGGTGTGCCGCTTGACACACATCATTTTACTTCATATTTTTATGCTTTCTTGTTTGCTTGTTTCCAGGAAATCCAGGCTTTTAATATCATCCCTTTCACATGGCTTAACTGGACTTTCAAATGTAAATCTCTTCCTGGGCTTATCTACATAAATACACTAAATTCTCAGCCCAATTCACTACTGACTATACTGCAGTCAAAGGCAGGATGGCAGCCCAGGCAGAACATCCCTGAGCTAGTTTTAAACTTGCTAGCTTGGGACTGCTAATGAGAGAGCAGTGCAGACTAACCAACAGAGTACTTATGTAGGCTTTTGTAGCCTACTGTGAAGTCTGTGTTGCTACAGCTACTGTGCAGTCAGTACCCAAACTAGCTAGTTTAAGGGTACCCTGGATCTGTCTACATGATCTACAATCACACTTTTCCTGCTTTGAGTTACTCCCTTTTATGCTGAAGTAAGAATAATAATGCCATGGTTGGAATACAGTGGCAAAAAAGGAGTAACATATCAGTTGATCCTACCCTCTTTCAGCCATGTTTATTCTAAAGTTATATTTTTCCTCTCTCTCTCTTTCAGATGACTAAATCTAACAGTTAGATGACAAAGACTTACAACAGTACATACTCAACCTTGAGCTCTTTCACACTGATAGAATTTGCTATCTGTCTTTTGGTTACCTTTACAGGGAAATCCTAAAATGTGCAAATATCCAATATGACCAGGCCTGACCTCTCCTAGTACACCCAGTGGTTTGAAATGTGAATAAATTTGAATGAAACCATATTGCTGAAATGTGTTGTAGGCACCTGGACATTTTCTGAGACTGTGTATAGAGGAAAGAACCTTGTATTTTGAGACAAATGCAGTAAGTGAAAAGGATACTTGTTACTTCCTACAAATATGTGGCCTGAGGCCAGATCCCATTTCTTATTGGACTCCTTTCTGGTGCTCCATCAGAGGTGCAGCTGCTTGTATGTCCTGAGGTTCTTGGCTTTCTTGTGGCACTTAGTACCCATCTTGTCCTGCCTTACCACTTTCCTAGCTGAGTCTTGGAAATCTGCTGTGCTCTGTGGGGAAGGATCAGAAGCCCACCACTGAATACGCAGGGTTGACAGACTACCAGACCAGACTGATGTAAGACATTAGCAAGAAGGAAAATAGTGTTTGGGAGAATGGAGACGGAGGGCTGGGTTGTGCAAAGTGGATCATCACAGTCAGGATGCCTTTTCAGATAGCATCTCT